GAGTCAGACCAGAGTCAGACCAGAGTCAGACCCAGAGTCAGACCAGAGTCAGACCAGGAGTTTAAGCTCTTATTAGAAACAGGTCTGTAGCAGTGAGTGTTGATTAGTGACTGAATGCATCAAATCATTAAAGTGCACATTCACAGTTGGTTCAAGTTAATTATCTTTGAGTGAAAGGGTCGAATCTTCACCAGTGTGCAGGAGCAGTCGTCCCACAGTGAACCCAGTCTGTTCCGTGCTTCCTCCACCACTAAGGTGATTAGTGCCATGCTAATCCAGTTAGCCGTTAGCCCTCCCATTAGCTCACGGCTGGTGAGTTACCACGCCGGAAAACAGAGGGATTAGCATTAGCAGGTTAGCTTATGTCATGCTGCTGGTGACCCCAGTGGAAACCGTGTGTGTGTGTTTTATGTGTTTATTAGAATTTTATGAAAACAATTTATAAAACATTGAATTAAATTTTTGTATGATGGTTAATTAATTGACATGACCTCGTAGCTGAGGTTTTACAAAGTGTAAAGATATGAACCATTTAAAGATTCTCAGAGAAATTACATCACATTAGGAAAAAACATCAATATCGGACCATTTCTATTACAAACATCGTGGGTTCCCTCTCTTACATCCTGTGTCCTCATGCTCCTAATCTCATCTGCAGTTATGATGGAGTCCCCTTCCTCATGCACGACTCCACTCTGAGGAGAACCACTGACGTAGCTGAGGTTTTCCCAAACCGAACGCACCTCGATCCCTCCATGTTCACCTGGGCCGAGCTGCAGCAGCTGAACGCCGGCCACTGGTTCTTATCGGTGAGACAAACACAAACAAACACAGTCTGTAGAAGAGAGGAAGAGAAACTGAAACCTGACGACCTGAAAACCGAAGTTCTGATCATCAGTTTTTTTACTCGGAGGTTAAACTGAAGTAAAGACATGTGACTCGTGTACGTGCATTTATTTGTTAGAGGTCGACAACTGTGTCGCATGTTGTTTCTCTAAACACTAAATTACAGTATTGGAAAATTCGCTCGATGTTGACAGTCTGATTCATTTTATATTCTTAAATTATTAACTGAACCTCGAGAGAACAAAGTAAATCTGAAGTTCAAGTAAAAACACAGAAAGAAAGAAACACTGGTGGATTTTGCTTTTCTTCTGTGCAGAAGGATCCATTCGGTACCGTGTGGTCCCTGTCCGAGGTGGACCGCTCGCAGGCCCAGAACCAGTCTGTTCCCTCACTGGCCCAGTTCCTGGAGGTGGCAGCTCGTAGTGGCAGGCTTGTAATTTTTGACCTGCGTAGGCCACCGCATGGACATCCCTACAGTGATTCATACATCAGCACCACGCTGCAGGTGGTGCAGGCCCACATCAACTCCTCACAGGTCACTGTTCAGATGTTTTCAGCACAATATTAAAACCAGGAATCGTATTATAGAATGTATTTTTTGTTGGTTTTCATATTGTTCAGTAACCTCGAGCAGTTTTCTCCTTTTTATATTAGTGATTGAGTCGCTGGTGACATATTTACTATACTTAATATGTGTGTACTGTATGTTTTCATTGAAATGTGTGTGTGTGTGTGTGTGTGTGTGTGTGTG